GCCTTCCTTAAAAACCTGCAAAAAATGAGGAAATTCCTTAAGATTTTGCTACTACTCCTCTACTCTTTTAGTATAACTTGATTCTTTAAATAAAGGGGGGTAAAATAACATATATAATATCTACAATTACCAAAAAGAGTACCAAAAGTTGAGTGCAAATCATGCATAAAAAACACTCAACAGTTACAGATATTGGTAATCGATTAACCCGATGCTCTTTCAACATGTTTCACTTATTTTTACTCAAAAGTCACCATGATAATTTATTGATTCAATTGGTAATCTATTATCATAGAGAGGACTTTGAATTCTACTTTAAAACTAAACTTCAGTAATCTAATATCTCAAATGGTAATTTATTACCTGACTTAATCTTGAATTCTTTTGAATGAACCAAGTCCCATTTTATGTCAAAACACTTTGTAATCTCTTATATTATGTTTTCACATGAAATGAGAAACATTGAATTTTATGTTTACTAAAACAAGATGTATTCTTAACAATTAATCAATCATGATAAGTAAACACATTCGTGCCTAAGTCTAATTAACAATCAATACAATACCCTTTTCACATAGGTCATAAAATATAAAATGAAGCAACCTAAATCAAAGCTAAACAAAGTTAGATCTAGCTACATCAAAACTAAAACTTCTTTTTCAATCTTACAAAGATCTTCATCAAGAGGGGCTTCAAACTCAACACTATTTTGTACCCAACGTGGAGAAAGGGAGAACCCTCTGGTTGAACTATGTCTAACACGGTGAAGGCACGACCAATGCAACATCAATTCCTACACAATGCAGTTTCCAAATTTTATCCAATTCCCCAGAGAAATAGACAACCCAATAACAAGTATGGCAACACACAACATTTATACTATTTATACATCACATTTCCATCATCAAAATCAACATGCAAAACAAAAATCAAGGAGTGACCATCTTCAAAATGTCCCCAACCCAAGGACCTCCAACCACAACTTTACAACCATTGAATCTAACAACATCTCCTAAAATTAGTGATTCTAACATACAACACTCAACATGCATGTTGCAAGAAAATTCAACGCAAGCTTCCTTTACCTCTTTAGTGAACCAAAATCTACCTATAGCTTTGGGAGTTATTCATAAAGCAATCTCATAAATTTAATAACCCTTCCTAATTAAAAAAGTTACATATGAAATGATTGCTACAAAACGGGATTGTGTAACTTAAACTAAGTAAAAATGAGGTCAAATAATTTCGTAGTAGATTATTGGCATAAATCTCTTATTATAAAATTTAAGATTGATGATACAATTTTCGTAATTGCACTAATCATTTATAATAGGCTTGCTTAACTCTTTTTTTTTTTTTTTTCAGGTGAATTAGATACCCCTTAACAAATACAATGCACCCACCATCGAAAAGATCACACATTGATATGGTGTTTTGCAACAACAATAATAATTTTCAATACAAAAATTGAACACTTCCCTTAACCGAAATGCCTTCCAGTTTCGCATGGTAGAGTTGAGATCAATTTCCAAAGGGATAACATGGGTTCTCTTGAAATTTATTAATTCGTAACATCTTGTCTATTTTCCCAATACCTGGACATAAAGTTTCCATTAAATTCCCCCTGTAGAAGCATACGAGGTTTGGTAAATATTCAAGAATCAAACAATTGAGGAGCGGAAATATTATCTCATCTTCGTTTGATTCATCCCCTTCCTTATACACTATCCCTTTAATGAATTCACACCTTGTTACCATCATTATTTTGGGTTGAGATAAACTTTTGGCTGCCCAGGATGTGAATAAGTTTATCGATCCATGGCATTTAAATACAGTCAAATACACCAGATCAGAGAAACATATGGAGGATGGTGCCAAGTTTTTTAAATGGGAACAACAATTTACTTTCAAGTGTTCTAAATTTTTGAGAAAGGACTCAATCCATAAGTTTTCCAAGTCAAAGGAAACGAGCTCCAGAAGGGACTCCAAGAGTAATTCTCAGTTTCAGTTGTGATAGTGATCCAATATCATCCACATTAGGACCTTGAAAGCAGAAAATCTCCTTTTGAAAGAACTTCAACCCACCCAAAGCTCCTCTATATTAGGCACTTGTAGAAATCTATATGGAAATACATTAGACTCAACATGAAAGATCAACAAACTAATAGATTTTAACTTGTGTGAGAAATTTCCTTGTAGTTCTCCACGCCAAATCATCTTCAGTTCTGTTTCACCAATTCCCAACCTCTCTAAGTTGGGTGTAAGCTACAAAGAGACCAATAACCAAACCAAATCAGGTCAGGGAGGTTATAGATTCATCTCTTCCATAAAAAATTGAAATGATGAAACTTCTCATGCTAAAAGATGTATGATAATTAGTGACAAAAATTCCATCTCTTCTATATAATTTAAATAATTTATGAATATTGTTCACACCACAGAAAGCAAATATCAATGCAGTATAAGTAGCAGCATTCCCTTTCATGCCCTTCCCTTTCATCTCGTTGAAAAACTCAACTGCTCTATGGACTCTCCCATGTTTACACATACCATCAACCAATGCATTGAGAGTGACAATATTTGGCTGCACTCCTTCCTCGTTCATACAACGAAACAACTCCTGTGCTCTATCGATGTTTCCAGCTTTACAAAACCCATCAATCAAGCAATTATACGTAACCGAGTTGGGTCTACTTTTATTTCCCGTTTTCATCTCTTCCAGCAAACTCAAACCACCTTCTTCCCTCCCAGCCTTACAAAGTCCATCAATCAAAGTGTTAAACAACACAACATCAGGCTCAACACCAACTCTCATTCCATCAAACACCTGTAACGCCTCCTCAATCCTCCCAGCCTTGCAAAAATGATCAACAAGAATCCCAAAGGTTACCACACTAGGCTTTATCCTCCTTTCCTCCATTTCCGCCAACAGTTTATTCATCCTCTTAAATTTAAATAAGTCCTCACACTTCTTTTCTACATTTTGATTTAGATCGTTATAAATTACAAAAATTTTATAACTATTTTTCCTGAACAGTAATACAACCATTAAGACACTGTAAACCATTAAGGATCAATTAAATTTATTTTTCAATGGTTGTATACAACCATTAATAGTCTGTAAGTAATAAAACTTTTAAATTGTCTGAACCTACTTGAAACTCTAATATAACTATAGGTACTTACAAATTAATTTAACCTTAAAAAGATGTACAATTCAAGTTTTATTTCAGCTTAGGTGTTTTAAAAATGGGTTCAAAAAAGAATAGCATTCTTTATGGTTTAGCTTTAGCATACTAGGAAACTTGATACCCTTCGACAAAATGTTCTAATTTTTCTATTTGACCAACTGCAGAAAGCCATTCAGTAAGAATCTCCATAGTTGTATAGTCTGGTGTGCAAGCATCTTCAACCATTCTGTCCATAAGTTCAAATGCTTTGTGCAACATTTTCTTATCTCGAACCCCTTCGAGAATAGCATTATATGTGGTTGTATAGTATTAGGCCTAACCCCCTTTACCTTCATGTCCTCCATCAAAGAAGCTTTTCCTCCTCCCAGTCCTTCCGTGGAGGGGTTTGGATTGCCATAACATCAACATTGGGTGGAGAGTCTTACGATTGCAAGTTTAGAGCTCTCACCTTCCAAACACAAGAATCTCACTCACTGCATAACACTTTTAGGTATTGTATGGCAGTGACCAAGAATAACAGACAAGTCAGGGAAACTGTATCCTCCTCACCTTGGTAGAGCTTGATCAATCAAAATTAATTTAATAAGAAAATAATAAAAAAAATAGAGTAAAATAAAATAAAATTTATAATTAATTGACAAAGCAAAAATTATCATTTTTATCTTTTATGTATTAATGTCTATTAATATATATTTTTAATCTAAATAATGCATTAGAGTGATTGATGGTCTATTTTATATAGTATAGATACAATACCTTGACAGAAGAAGATTGTTTCATTTGCAAGTAAATATATTTTTGTATGTTTTATTTGCATTTCACTATAACCTCGTTCTTTCTTTCGTTATTCATACTATTGGTTGCAAGTTCTAATAAACAAGGATCGTTATTATAATAGAATTTATTTACAGAAAAATGCTCACTCAACAGTTACAAAACAGTATAATTCACACAATCTATAATGCAATTTGATCATGTCTATATATAGAGAGAGAGGAGGGAGGAAGGATTCTTTTATTTTAAAAGTAAATTTACTTATATTTACTCATTTCAATAACTCATGTTTAACATTAAATTTTAATAATTTAATCGTTGAATTTTAAAGTTTTTAATGCATCAATCAAGTTTATAAATTTTTAAAAAATTTAAAATATTAATATTTTATTTCATTAATTCAAATTGATATATAATCATAAAATTATTTTATACATTAATTTGAATTAATTAAACAGAGTATTAAATAATTTTTAAATTTTTTTAAAAATTTACAAATTTAATTTATGTATTAAAAATTTTAAATTTAACAATTTAATCATTAAAATTTAATATAAAATATGAGTTATTAAACGGAATAAGTCTATATATATATATTACAACAACCGGGTGCTCGATCAGTACTATTTAAATTTTGATGCAGAATTTAGAAAAGAATGCAGGTTACAAAATATCAATACAAAGAATGAAGGCACATGTTTCTACATTTCAGTAACCAGTCCTATCATTTTAGCAGTAATCTAAATATCTATGGAAAATTTTCAGGCATGTGAAGCAACCATTGGAGTGTTCCCAAAATGTCATTGTTCAAGCAAATTCTAGAGTCTATAAGTGGATTTGGCTTAAAAGATTATGTGAATAAGCGGTTGAGCGATGCATATGAAAATTTAAATTTATGTGATGATGTCAACAAATTAATATATATCTAATTCAAAATTGGATATTTGGTGCAATTTGATGAAGATATTTTGTTTGCATATTACACCAAGCATGAATTTGGATATGTAAATTTTTATGATCAATAAAGGAAACAAATTGAACAAATATAACACACAAAATACATTTTTTTTAACATTTTTGTCAATGCATCAAACAATACAGACAATACTTAATGGATACAGTTCATCACTTCATCTTTTGTTCTCCGTGACCGTTTATCACTTGTAATCACACACATTACATAATCTGTAAAATATAACAATTTATTTCATCATCAACATAATAAAACCAGTAATCACACGTTTTTATTTTTTATTTTTAACACAAACATACGTATAGTAAAACATGACCACTTTTGTTCATCTTCATCAAACTCTCTTTACCATCTTACTGCAATAATGGTGTCTTAACCTACACAAAATATAGAAACAGCTAGCAACGTTAGTTTTATAATAATAATAATGAAGGAGAAAAAAAATCTAATTTTAACTATAGGAGCAATAAATTCTTTTTCTAAATTAAAATTATTCTTTCCACGAAATAAAGCGAGATTCAATGAATCAAATCCAGATATAGTAATTTTTTTTTAACCTTGTACAAAAATAAAATTAAAAACAATTTAACATGCGTCTTGCTGGATCTCAATTTGAGAGGAATTTACAAAGCAAACTCAAAAAATCAATAGCCTTTCTTTATCAAGAAACTTATATATGTGATGAAATTGATTTTTAGTTACCAACAAATGGGGTTGTGTAAGCTTGAAAAAACTATTTGAAGGAGCCAAAATAACTAAAAGTAAATTGTATAATTAAATGTAATAGTTTTGATAATATATAAATTTTTTATAGATGATTTTAAATATTGAATGATATTATTTGAATATTAAATATTTTTAATTAATGATTTTTATGATATTAAAAATATTTTTTCTACTTCATTCATAATATTTCTCACTTTATTTTCTTTTTACTACTTTTATATTTTCTTTAACTATTAAATAAGAAAATTATCTGTGAAAAAATTATAGCAAAATAAATTTTTAATAAAAATATCTGTGAATTTTTAATAAATTTAAAGAAATAACCATATTTTTGTCAAAATTATAGCAAACTTTAGAGAAAGAGTTAAATCAATTATAATGGTTGGTTTTATAAAAATTAAAAACTTAAAAGAGCATTATTGACAAAAAAAAATCTATAAATAAAATAGAATGACTAAAGATAACGTTCTTCATATTCTTTTAATGAATAAATATTTTTAAATTTATAATTAAACATTTCAATGCTCCTTCAATGACTTAAAATTAAAATTAATTGATAAATAAATTTATTTGTAAATTAAGTTCCTTATCATCTCAATGACTTAATATTATTAATAATTCTAAAAATATTTAAAAACTTGTGAAAATTTTGTTAATATTAAATAAAAATATAAATAATTTTTAATAATTATACATATAATTTATTTTCCACAAATTAATTTGGAGGGGGACTGGGGGAACATGCTCCGTTACTACACTAAGCTTTTCCTGGCAGTGTAACTTAACCAAAGTAAAAGTAATCTTAAATAATCCTATGGGTAGATTATTAATTTAATTTTTTAACGATTTATTTGGATAAATTTAAAAAAAAAATAAGAAGAAAAAATGAAATAATTTTTTCTATAAAATTAAAATTCACTTATTTATTGACTAATTTTATAAAATTTTTCTCATTAGCTTATCTACTTAAGAATCTTATCTTTACTTTGTGTATAAGGTAATTTTAATTTTTGAAAAAAATTATTTTATTTTAATTTTAATTTTTCTCTCTTAAAAGTAGTTCTTAAAATCTACCTAAATATATCCTAAATATTTTTTTTTTATAGAATTCTTTTAGATATTTTAAATGATTGTTACAATTTCTTTAATTGCACCGTTCACAGTCATTTATGATAGGTTGTTTAACTTCATTATTTAGGTATATAAGTTAGAAAATCCCGAAACAAATACAATGCTCTTTCCGTTCAAAAGATTTTCTCATTAACACGGTGCGTTAATTAGGGCTAAATTATATTTTTAGTTCAATTTATTTTTTCTTTTTTAATTTTGAATAATTTAATGATTATTTATCTTTGAAAATAACAATTATTTTTAATTTTAAGATACAATTTTAAATAATTTTTTTTTATTGGTTTAAGACTTAAAATTTATTTTAATTGATTTATTTGTATAAAATATTGAATGTAACTTATGTGTGAACCAAAAGAGTCATAAATATGTTGAAAATTGTTTTAAAAAGAATTAATAAAGCAACCGAAAAATTTTAAAAATTTCAAATTATTTTTTAGTTATTTATAAAACATGTTTTATTTACAATTTTTACTATGTTTATATCTTTTTCTAGATTTAAATATTAATTAAATTTCACATTTTTTATATAAGTAAATTTATAAGACAATTTTTAAGTTTTAAATTGGTTATAAAATAATTCAAAATCATGTTATAAAATTAAAAATAATTATTATTTAAAAAAAAACTAAATCGATCCAAATTTAAAAAGTAAAAAAGTAAAATGAACATTTTTAAAAAGTAAAAACTAAAAATAAATTTTAAAATAAGATTAAAAAAATATAATTTAGCCATATATTTATAAACGAATAATAATTTTTAATAAAATAATTGAATACATACCCGACCTTTAATTTAATATGCCTTCCATTTCCGCATAGTAGAGTTTAGATCATTTTTCACTGGGATAGGATATTCGCACAAGTCAAATTGAACTTGAGACAATTTGTCTGCTTTTACGGTACCTGCACAAAAAGTTTTCATCCTGGTGCAATCGATTACCTTCAATTGGTCTAAGGATGGAAAACTTAAACTCCCTCTGTAGAAGCTTTTGAGCTTTGATAACCTTTCTAGATTTAAAGAGTTGAGCTTCAGAAATATTATCTCATCCTCATTTGATTCATCCCCCTCCTTATTACACACTACTATCTCTTCAATTGAATAACAATGTGCTATCTCCATTGTTTTGAGCTGAGTCAAATTTTTGGCTGTTGAGGATGTGAACAAATGTAATAGCCCATTGCATTGATTTAGTTCCAAATGTGTCAAATTGGAGAAAGACACTGTGCATGGCACCAAGCTTGTTGAACTAAAACAACTTATTACTCCAAAGCTTTCTATATTTTTGACAAAGGACTCAATCCAAGAGCTCTCTAACCCAATGGGAACAATCTCTTCAAGGGACTTCAAGCGTAATTCTTTCAGCTCTGCAAGGCAGAAAATCTCCTTGAAGGAACCATCATGCACCTCAAGCTTCTCTACATTGGGCATGTGTTGTACAAATTCATCAGACTTGATATGAAATAAAAGAGCAAGAACTTTTAACTTGGGTAAAAGGTTTCCCAGAAATTCTCCTTGCGAAATCATCTTCAGTTCATTAGCATCCAGTGTTAGATGCTCTAAGTCGGGTGTAATCTGTGAAGAGAAACTAATAATCAACCAAAAGCAGATTAAGAGAGTTATAGATCCAGCTCTTTTATATAAAATTCAAATAAATGAACTTTCATGCTAAGAAATATCTGATAATTAGAATAAAAATTAACTATTTCGATGAAAAGGTGCTGACAATTCAATTTAAAAGAAAAAAAATGACTTAAAAACCAAAAAAAAAGAAAAGAAAATTATCTTAAAGGTAATACAATAAAAATTATTTTTAACGATAATTATTTAATAATAATAAATTAATTATCTTTATTTTATTATCTAATAAAAATATTAATAATTAATAGTTAATAATTAATAAAAATTACATTTATACTACATCAAAATTTATTATTAACGATAATTATTTAATGATAATAAACTAATTATTTTTATATTATTATCTAATAAAATATTAATGACTAATAAACAATAATCATTACAAATATATTTATAAGAATAATTATTGAAAATGATAAGTAAAAAGTAAAAGTAACTTTTAATTCACTTTATTAGAAAAAAGTTTAAGTATATAAATAGAGAGTAACTTTCATCTTATTGGTTTTGTAAATTTGAGTTAAACTCAGATGATATCAAATTATACACTATTTAATTACATATCAAACTCAATAGTACTAAACTTGAAGAGTATATTGAGAAAAAATTTAAGTATCATATTAATTAAAAATAAGATAATTAAAGAGTATATAAATAGAGGATAACTCTCACCTTACAAATCTCATATCAATTAAAAATAAAATAATTAAAAAATATATAAACTAAAAATCATTTCCGTAAACTTTTATAGTGACAATAATAAAGAATATTAAATACCAAATAAAAAATCTCACTAATAAATATTTTACTAGTAAAATATTTTGTAGTTATTTTTATTTTCATAAACAAATTTATTTTGAGTTTTAAATTTTAAGATGGAAAAAGTGTTAAATGAGATTGATGGAAAGTTGTAGTAGTTCCTAAAGAAGAAGAGAATGAAAAATCTTTAGATGATTGGTTGGAGTTTTTTTTTTTTTTTTTTTTATCATGGTTTGTCGGAGATTATTTATAAAGATTTGAGAAGCATTAAACATAATGTTGTGAAAGAATAACAAGAGATTGTTCTTTGAAATAATGTGATATATGATAAAGTAGATTGGTGTGTGTAAGAATCTATGTAAGATTGAATGTATTATTGAGAATAAAGCTCAAACCTCAAATGTTGTTGTTGCATCATGAGTGCAACATGTACCATTATACTTGAACTTGGGCAAATCACATAGTATCAATGACCTCACAGGTAGGAACGTTTCTCTTGAATCCGCATTATCCTCAGCAACAATTTCCATCAACCCTTCACATTGTTGCAAATCTAGTTTTTCAAGTTTCTCAAGATCTTTGGCTACTGATGTGGGGAACACACTTGCAAGGCATTTACATTTGTCAACATGAACTTGTACAAGTTGCATCCTTAGAATTCCATGAGGATCTCCATTCCAAATATTCTCCAGATTTGGTAGATCCGATAAAGTCAATATCTCGAGGGGGAAAATAGGTGGTCCCATAGTTGTCATTTGTGTGCCTAGTGTTATACCTTTCACATCAAATATGGTTTTCACGTAATCACACTTTCGAACTTTCAATGTTTTCAATTCAGTAAACAAAGGAAGTAAATGGGAGGGTAGTACTGCATCTGATAAAAATTGGCAACCGGCCACAGTCAAAGAGACCAACTCACTGAAGCACTTGTTTGGGATTGACACTGTGGGAAGCCATATCTCTTCTAATTCGGGCTCTTTTCCGAGGTCAAGAATAAAAATCTGCACACGCAAAAGAATACATAAAAATAAAAATAAGATAAAAGATTTAAATATGTTCGTAGTTAATATATACTGAGTTATCTTTTTATTTTGGTTATTCCTTTAATTTTTTGTTTTTTTAATTTGTTAATATTGTTTTTAATTTTTGTAAAATGATCAAATTTTGATTTTATCTTTACAAAATATATTTATCTAATTTTTATTTCTCTAAAATCTAATGTAATTATTTTTAATTCTTAAAGGTTATTTTAAAATAAATAAATAAATTTTATAAATTATTTTAAAGATGTCACATTGAAATGATATCACTAATAATTATAAGTAATACTTAAAGTAATCATTTAAATTTTTAATAAATAATTAAAAATAATCATAAAATAATAAAGATTAAAAAAACAGTTTTAAATTTTAGAAAAATAAAAAAAAATTAAGAACTAAAATCAAAATTCATTTATTTTACGTAATTAAAATATATTTAAATTAATATAAAATTAGTTATTTACGATTAATGAGAATTGAGATTATAATTTTACTTAAGTTTCGTAACATCCATAACTATTAATTCCATTAAAAGTTTAGAGCATCTCAGTTCTAGTATCGGTCATCACATAGTTTGAGTTTTATTTATTTATTTATTTATTTTTAATGAAAGTGAAGAACTCGATATAGCCTTCTCTACTGCCTGATAGCTGTTTTCATTTAATCGGTCTGGAATATTCATTCTAGATTTACCACAAGTATACTCCCAGAGATAGTTTTTTTTTTTTTTTTTAAAGGATATTATAAGCCTCTGTTGCACTTTATCAAGAGATTTCTAGGAATTTGTATCAATCGCAGTAAACTTTTATTTCAGAAATAAAATAAATCTTTCGAGGTAACATACTCATGAATCGAAGCTAGATATAGTAATTTTCTTAACCTTGTATAAAAATAAAATTTAAAAATAATTTAAACATATATACATGTTGGTCACATTTTGTGAGTTATTTACCAGGCAAACTCATAAATTTAATGATCTTTTCTTAATAAACAGTTATATATACGACGCTATACAATGCACTTAATTTCTATCCAAAAAATTGAATTACTGACATGTGTTTAATAAGAATAATAATTATGTTGAATAAAAAAATTGAACACATACCTTTGCCAGAAATACTTCTCGCATGGTAGAGTTAAGATCATTTTTAACTGGAATAGGATCTTCGTCCCAGTCAAATTGAACTTGAGACAATTTGTCTGCTTTTACGGTACCTGCACAAAAACTTATCATCCTAGTACAATCGATTACCTTCAATTGGTCCAAGGATGGGAGACTTAAACTCCCTCTATAGAAGTTTTTGAGCTCTGGTAACCATTCTAGATTTAAAGAGTTGAGGTTCGGAAATATTATCTCATCCTCATTTGATTCATCCCCCTCCTTATTACACACTACTATCTCTTCTATTGAATCACACCAACTTATCTCCATTATTTTGAGCTGAGCCAAACTTTTGGCTGTTGAGGATGTAAATAAATATTCCAACGTGCTGCAAGAGGATACCTTCAATTGGTCTAAGGATGGGAGACTTAAACTCCCTCTGTAGAAGCTTTTGAGCTTTGATAACTCTTCTAGATTTAAAGACTTGAGCTTTGGAAATATTATCTCATCCTCGTTTGATTCATCCCTCTCCTTATTACACACTATTATCTCTTCAATTGAATCACACCTTTCTATCTCCATTGTTTTGAGCTGAGTCAAACTTTTGGCTGTTGAGGATGTGAACAAACACCGCAGACTATTGCAACGATATATTTTCAAAACTGTTATATTTGGGAGGATGGGCTGAATCCAAGAGTTCTCTAACCCAATATCATCCTCATATCGGGACTCTCTCACCTGAAGCCTCTCTATATTGGGAACATGTTGTAGAAACTCACATGGAAATACATCTGTCTCACAGCGCTCAAAACTTACACCTTTTAACTTTTGTAAGAAAAGGTTTCCCTCAAATACTTCTTTCCAAATCATCTTCCATTCGTCTCCAACTACTTCCAGATGTTCTAAGTTGCGAAGCTACCAAGAGAAAACCAATAACCAAACAATACAACGTTAGGACAGTTAAAGAAAAATACTCCCTCCGTTTTTTTTTTTCATAGTCGTTTAAGGTTTTGCACGGGACTTAAGGAAATCATTGATATTTTAGTTTTCAAAAATATTTATTACTTATTTTCCTATTTTACCTTTTAATTTTTTTTTGCATTTTTTAAATTGTTGAACTACTCCATTAATGCACATTAACTTTATATGAATAGTTGGAGAAAAAGTAGGTAGACATTAAAAATAAATACACACATTCTTCAGGAAACATGTATTAATTATCAAGGGTAAAAATGGAAGAAGAAAATTAATAACTCATTGATTTTAGTAATATGACAATGAAAAAAAAAACAACAAACTCTGACAAAACGACTATGAAAAAAAAACGGAGGGTGTATGAATTAATAACCAACTTTTCATGCTGTTGAGAATTAGTGACAATTTATATATTTCTATCAAATAGGTGTGTAAATGATCAAATTAAAAACAAAAAAGAAACTGTTTACTTAAAAACAAAATAAGGGAAAAAATTAACCAGGCTACATATTAATAAGATTTTGATACCGTTTGTGCCTAAACAAATTTAATTCAAGTTTAAGAATTTAAGATGAAAAAAATAAGTATTAAAAAAGAACATTGGGAATGTTTTATGTAGTGATTCTAATGGAGAATAAAATGATAAAAAAAAATTCCTTTAATTAGAGAATAGTAGATTGTTAATAAACATTTGAAAAGAACTATTACTATTGATTTAGTAATGAAATTGAAGTAATATGAATAGCATCTTAGATTCTAATCTTATTGATCTTAATATGAATTTGATGGATAATTTTTTTTTTTTTAAAGGTTTGAGAACCATTAACAGATTATACATGATATTTGATGATAAATTTTTTTTAAAGATATGAGAACTATTAACATATTATACATGATGTATGATACAGCACACCGGCATGTGTAAGAATCCATGTAGTTGAACTGTAAAATAAAAAATTCGTGTATTTGAACTTAAATAAATTTATTTCGAGTTTAAAATTTTAAGATGGAAAAAAATAAGTATTAAAAGAGAACATTGGGAATGTTTTATGTAGTGATTCCTATGGAGAAGAAAATGATAAAATAAATAAATAAATAATCCTTTAGATGGTAATAGATTGTTAATAAAAATTTGAAAAGAACTATTAAAGTTGGGTTAATAGTGAAATTAAAATAATATGTTTAAAATTCTAACCTTATTACTCTTTATATAAATTTGATAGATAAAATTATTTTAAAGACTTGAGAACATTAACGCATTATACATATTATACATGATATATGATGCGGTATAATGACATGTAATTGAATGTATTAACATATTATACATGATAAATTTATTTTTAATCTCTCAAATTTAGGAACTAAAATTTTTAATTATTTTATACATTATTTTTGTATGTATCAAGAATCTATCTTATGCATACATTAAATATTCAATTAATACATTAAAGTATAATTTAAATTTATATCTATTACAAAATAGAATTACAATGAGTAACGGATTTCGATTTTTACTTTTAATGAACATTTATATCTTCGGTTATAAAAATAAAATAAAATAAAATAATCACTCATATTTTTTAAATAATCATTTACAACTACTTATTCAATTTATTTTATTTTATTTATAACTTTTAAAACTCAAGTGACACTTTATGTCTTTTTCTCCTTACTACTATAATATAATGTCCAGTTAAACAAGCACTCTCCTTTCTCTTTTTTTTTTTTTACAGTTCTTCTCTCCTTTTTTTTTTTTTTTAAGTTACCTTTGTCTTCTTTTTTCATTTTATTTGATGAGTTAATCATCTATACACTGCCGGTATAAAGTTTTTTTACACTAACAACCAATCATATCTTTTATCAGTATCATGTCAGCTGCTTATTTAATAAAATAATAATAAAATAAGTAACTTTAAAAGATATGATTGGTTGTCAATGTAAAAAACTTTACACTAACGGTGTATAGATGATTAACTCTTATTTGATCTATCTTCCTTTTTAATTTGAATTCCAATATTAAAAAAATCATCTCTTAATAAAAATAAAATAATAACATAAACATTTACATTATTATTATTATTATTATTATTATTATTATTACAACTAATAAAAGAAGAATTTATGCATGTAACTATAGATTTAGTACAATTTTTCTCATGAAATGAATATAATATATATTTTAAGCCATATAATTATAAACGGATAATTAAATAGATATTCGTTGAATAATAAGATGAGAATAAAAACGAAGAAGAATGACAATCTATTCACATAATAGTTGGAGCCAATTGCTCCTACTAAATTTTTAATTTTACTTAATATATATACTTTATTTACAAAAAAAAAAGATATATATATATATATATATATATATATATATTATAATTATATATTTTTTATATTTTGAAATATAAAAAATAATTTATAATATGAATATTGCCTCACAAATCTAATTAGTCTCATTCTCTTCTATTTTTCAATTAGAAACTTCAAATACTTATTTTTTATCATTTCTTATAGTTGTTTTTGATACACTATCTCCATAATTATTCAAAACTATCAATTAGTTATTAAACTACATTTCTTTAATCTTTATATGCAACTTTGAATATTTTAATCGCGCGTATATATATTTCAATAATCCAACTTTTATTTTTATCACTAAGTTTAAATATATATATTTTTTTTAAAATTACAAATAGTTAAAAATAAGTTGCGCATTAAAAAAATTTATTTAATTTTTAATTATATAAAAATATAAACTTATTATGTATAATAAATGGGACAAAATGTGTATTTATCCATGTAAGTATTATCTCACGGCTTAAAATAATGGGTAGTACAATATTGATACTCGTCCTAAGTCTTGGTAAAAAGAGGATATTGGTAGTACTTAAGTAAAAATGTGAGATAATTAATTATATTTTAGTACTTAATTAGTAATTAATTATGCTTTTCTCAATAAAATTTAAATTTATAAATAAATATATTTTAAACATACATTAAATGAGAGGGTGTCGTCCTAAGTCTTGGTAGAAAGAGGATATTTGTAGTATGTGCAAACAAGGGTGTAAAAAAAGGTAATGGGAGATAATCATAATTTTAAAATCTTCTAGTTAATATTTATTTTTAAAAAAGGCATTGATCCACGTAAGTAATATGGTAATTCTGTGAAAGATTCCAATCCTGGAGATTAATTAGTTTTTAAAAATTGTAATAATATATTTTCATGAATAACAAAAAGTGTATATAAGTTGATGATGGGATCCGTACCTTTTCCTCAAATAATATCCTGTGCGCAGTAGAATTATGATTATCACACTGTTGGGATGTCCCATATTCTGCAGAAAACCACTTTGTTGTTGTTGAATGATTTATTATGTTGTTTGGACTGAAAGTTTTCATCCACCTACAATCGATTACGTGCACTTGCTCCAGGCATGGAAAACGTAAAGTATAATTCCCAGGGTAAAACCATCTTAACACACCTAATTCTTTAAGATACAAAACCTGGAGCTGCTCAAATATTATTTGTTCATCCTCATCTGATTCATTTCCCTCACTGGACACTATCTCTATCAGTGATTTACACTTTTCTATCTTCAGCCTTCTGAGTCGACCCAAACTTTTGGCTGTCGAGGATGTAAACAAATAGACCAGTTCATAGCAATTCCCAACTTTCAAATATGTCAGATTGGGGAAAGATACTGTGCATGGTGATGGTACCAAGTTTGACAAGTTCCAGCAATTATTTACTTGTAATGTTTGGAGATTCTCAAGAAAGGGTTGTAGCCAAGAGTGCTCTAAACCAATGGACTTAAGCTCTTTCGTATGACTTAACTCTAATACTTTGAGGTGCAAAAGGATAGGAGTGTAATCAGCATTCGGTCTTTCAGCGGAGAACATCTCTTCAAACCAACACCGGTTAAATGCAAGCTTTTGTATATTGGGAAGCTTGTGAAGGAATCTGTATAGAGGAGCACTATCTAACAATTCTTTAAAGTCTTTTAGTTTATCAAACTGCAATTGCCCTCCTGCAGACTCTCGATCCCATGTAACCTGGATGTGTCCAATACTGAATGACACTTTCTTCAAGCTGGGGGTTTGGATAACCTATATACAAAGAAGAACAAATAAACATATTACATACGCAAACAAAATACAATTGGATCAGATTATTAATTATTAATTTTATCTGAAATTCATTATATTTAATAATTTATTCAAATAATATATATATATATATATATATACCATATAGTACTTTTTTATTTATATATATATATATATATATATATATATATGAATTGGTTTTTATATTTTCTTTGGATGTTTTATCCTTCCATTTTTTTTCTAAATTATTTAGTGGTTCAATTTTCATTCTATATGCTCTACTTTCCTTTGTAATAGTATTCACTATACACTTAAATAACTTAGTTCTAATAAATATTTAGCATATTTTTATCTTTTTGCCTTAAATTTTTGAATTTCTGTAGTGTAAATTTGTTTTCACTTTTGCTATTTGATTAATGATTTTCTTTGTTTTATTGTTTTTATAACATGCATTATTGTAATCTTTTAATTTTAATCTTTATTATTTTCCCTACTTTTTATTGTATAAGTATAATCTAAATTATTTATTTTGTAGTTGAATTGACTTTATTTGGAATTTTTTTTCTCTGATACCAGCATTTGTATTTAAGAGGAATGAGTTTCTTCCCATTATCTATTTTATTTGATTCATAATCCTCTTTACTTTTTAATTGTTTTATCTATAAGATTTTTTTCCCGAATACTTTCATTAATTTTTAGATTCTAATTGTTTTATCTATAAGATTTTTTAATATTTGCTTTATATTAATAATTTATTCATTTTTTTTCTATTTTATTACAAGTAAAATCTTCACAATTTCTAATATTAAAGTTATATTTTTATCAATTTTTTCCATCTTTAGTTCCAATTTTTATTCATATTTTCAAAATTTTTCTGTAATTAGTATTTCTTTTATTTACTTATACTTTAGGATTCCAATTATTTTGTCTTTTGTCTCAACTTTTATTTATTAGTTCACACATGAGAACGTACCAAAACTTCTCCATTTTAAAGTTACGATAGTAACTTGTATATTTCTTTTTCTCCTTATTTTCTTCTAGTAGTTTTTAGACCTGTCGGCTGTCACACACGCTTTAGTAAATGCATCTATCCTGACCGAGCCGGGATTTAAAAAAACTAATTTGGTTAAAGTTTGATGAAATTACACAACTTTTCTTCTTATTTCAAAATCACCCAACCAGATTCGATCCTACATATAATAAGTAAAAGTGAATTAAGTTATAAGAATTACCTTTTCAATTTCAATAAGGACTTGCTCCTCTGCATCATCTTCACATTCAAGCGTGTGTAATCCGGGATAGAAGTATTTGAGTTTTGGCAATTGTGTTAGAGTCAATGAGGTGAGAGAACTAAACACAAACATTTTTGTTGCTCCTTCTGATTCTGCACCCTTTGAAAATATTTCTACCAACTCTCTACACTTTGTTACCTCAAGCATTTCAAGTCTGCAGGTAACATCTTTTTTAGCCACCCCTGCTGGAAATAAACTTTTCAGACTATCACATCTTTCAACATGCATATATCGTAGCACTTGAAGGTCAATAATTCCCTCAGGATCCTTGTCCCATACATGCTCTAGTTTTGGTAGATCATCTAAACTCAATCTTTTCAAACGGATTATTCCCAAAGCTTTTGTCTCATCACTTATATTAAATATGACCCGTGCTTCTCTGCAATTCCATACCCATATTTCTTCCAAATTCTCAAAGCAAGGAAGTAAATGAGATGGAATTACGTACTCTAGACTATCACATTCGTATACATCCAAACTTTTCAAATTGCCAAAGTTGTTTTGTATATCCAAATGATTGCGATGCCATAGTTGCTCTATAAATTCAGGATAACTGGAAAGATCCAAATGCTCTGAGTATCTGAAAGAAACCTGTAAACTCAGATAAAAAATAAAATATAAATTATTATCCAAGTAAATCATTTATAAATCAAAGCATCTCTATAATAATGTTTAGAATAGGATTCAAGCTAAATAAATTGAAATTGAAATTATTTTAATTAAAAAAAAAAAGTTTTAAGATGTTGGGAAGTTCTCTTTAGGACAAGACGGGCTACATGAAGCAATTAAATTCTTGTATTATGTTACATTTTATGAATGAGGTTTTTCAAACAACATGAATGATTAATGTAAGTACCTTATCATTGAAAACATTTTGTATGGTGCCATTCAAGTTGCGTTCCCACTGCCATTTCGCTTCTTCTTCTCCTTCAACAGCAAGTATATTTTGTAACTTTGGTGCACTTGCCAGATTCTCCGAGAATGTTTCCATCTTGGGGCATTCTCTCACAATCAATATTTCCAATAAAGGGAATTTGAATTTACAATTCTTGTTGCTGCAAAAACTTGTGAGCTGTTTTAGAGTCACAAGTTCTATAGTAATCAAATTGCTAAATACAATTTCGATGTTTTCTTTTTCATTTCCCTCATAGCTTATTATTATTTCCTTTATTTCATTACAATCGATTACCTTGATGGTCTTAAGTTGAACCAAGCTTTTTGCCATTGAGGATGCCATTAAATTCCTTAATCCATGACAAGACTTTACTTCCAAATATGTCAAGTAAGTCAATGATACCCAGGGAGGAGCTAAAATCGACAAATTGTCACACCCTTGTAAGGTCAAAAGTTCAAGTCTCCGTAGAAACGGGTGTCGTTCAAGTCCTATATCCTCTGTAAATGAATATGACAAAACCAATTCCTTCAACTGTAATACGGTTCCTAATCTTTCCTGTGCTGCAATGTTTGCACTTGACATTAATTTATCAAGCCATAGCGATAACTTTTCTAGATTTGGCATTCTGTACAGAAACTGGTAGAGAGAGTCAAAACTAACTTCCCCGGAGATAAAAAGCTGTTTTAAACGGTGCATTCTGTACATTTTGATGTTGCTCAACAACCACTTCTCTGCTTGGTCAACGTCAATATTCAAAAACTCCAAGTTGGGAAAAAGCTAGAGAAAAATGAAATAAAAGTGAATACTACGAAGAAGGAGGTTACTTTATATATATATAAGCTTATCCCCCATCTTTCCATTTATTTTATTTTATTACGCTTTTTTGTTTGGATTGCAACAGTTTAAGAACCAAATTGTGATTTTTGTTTGTGTTTGTTCATAAATTACTATAAGGCAAACACCTCTATTATGTTAAGACACAAAACTAATAGGTAAGAACAAAAAAAAAAAAAATAGCAAAAATGACACAAAAGATTGTGTACCGCTTTATGTAAATTTTACTACATTGGACACTGTGATTTCCACGTATCTATGTGTGACACCAGTGATAATATACGATATAACAGATAATTTTTAGTTGGATTATAATAAATTGAATAAAAATAATTTATTAATTTAGATTTTTTAATCTATTCAATTTATTTTTAAAAATTATTTAATTTATTCATTAATATTTTTTATGGTAAGATATTTGATCCGTTTATAAAAAAAATCTTGAAATATTTTAATTTATCTATCTTTTCTTACTCTCCTATCTCTATTTTTTTTTTTTGTTATCTACGCAATTAATGTTTTAAACTTTACCATTTTTTGTTATTATATTGACAACAAAATTTATATCTGTTGCAAATTCAACATGCTCCTTTTGTGGCAGTTATTTATCTTCTATTGAAAGTGAGATTTTATATTCATTTGGAAAGAAAATTTAAAAGATTAGTTATTAAAAATGTGTCAATTTTTACTTTTCTTTATCAAAATCCAAATCTTATTATTATTATTATTATTATTTTGTTATATTTTTCATTCACATGTAACTTTGAATTTTTGTTGAAATCTTTGGAGTTCTTTTGAATGTTATAAATTCATAGTTGTTTTAAAATCTTTTAAACTTTTATGATAGAAATTCATTAAAATCTAAACTACAAAATTATGATTATAAAATTCCTTTTAAAAAACTTATATACAAGTTATTATATTTTTATATAATCTTTTAAAATTTATAAGTCTTTATTTTTATACTAAAATAATCTTTTAAAATCTCAATCTAAATATATATATAAAAAAAAAGTATAAAAAATGAAAAAAAAAATTCAATCAATTACATCTCTCTTATTATAATCCAATAGATTTTGAAAATATAGTGAATAAATTACTGACAATTCATAAAATTAAATACATAAGTTAAATCTAATTCATAAATATTATTGTGTAATAAATGAATTCAATAATGAGTTTTCTTGTGGATAAATGATGGATAAGTAACAAGATAGTCTAAGTAACAAATTTTAAAAAGTTATTTCATTTAATAACTCATATTATACATCAAATTTTAACAATCTAACCTTTAAATTAAAATTTTTAATATATAGATCAAGATTAAAAAATTTTTAAAAATTTGAAAATTATTTAATATTCTATTTCATTAATTCAAATTAACATATGAAATATTTTCAAGAATAGATGGTGAGTATATATATATATAAAATAAAAAAAACCAACAACAACAACAATAAAAGAAAAATTAAATAAAATTGAAACATGCTCTATAATTTCAAAATTTCTAAGGTTAATAATCCTGATTTGTATATTTTAAGATAAGAAACAGAGAGATAATAAAGTAATTGATGCAGTACTTGAAAGAAAAAGGCATAAATACAAAGATAAAATGATCAAACACAATGAAATAATAATTCTTTTTCATAAAAAAATTAATTATCTTTTTGTTCATTGTTTTGAAACATTACCGTTTAGTCTTTCTGGTTAAAATATTTTATTTTAGATTTTATACATATTATTCTGAAATTTTTTAGTTGATGTCGTCTATTATTATAAAAATTAAAAGATAAAACTTATAAAATATTAAGAACTAAAAAGAATAGAAAACATTGTATATATATAATAATTAAAACGAAATTTTTTTATTATAAAGGGTAATAAATAAATTTAATAAAATTATAATAAAAAGGTAATTAAACTTAAAAATATATATTATAAAAACATTCAAAGTCCAATCATGTGCGCTAAGTGACAATACAAAATCCGATCTAGTAATAATAAATTATTTTAGTTTGTTCATAGAGTATCCAACGCCGATAATAGTGAAGTAATAATAAATTAATAAAGAATAAGATGTCAAAATACAATGTTGGTGGCCCCAAAAGAATGTTTTTATTCGTTGATTCCAAAATGGGTGGATTAAAAAATTGGATTGAAAATTAAAAAAAAAAAAGTGCAAAAGATAAATATATATGATAGATGATGAAAAAAGAAAGAAGATATAACTAGAATGCATAAGAAAATGAATAGATGGTGAGTATATTTCTCCCTCAAAAACCCTGGTCCTAAGTCCTAACTCCTAACATCTTAAAAAATAAAGAAATAAACGTGTGTATTAAAGTCGACAAAAACTAATACTAAAAAAAAAGCTATAAAATAAAATTAAGTATTTCTTTTTCTAGTGACAGAATATTCCTTACTTACCTCTTTAGGTGTTGAGAAAACTGCTACTTCTTCATTTGTGCTTTCACTTCTTTTTATTTGGAACGTTTCAAGCTTCCCACATTTCACCACTATCAACTTATTCATTTTTGGACACTTTATACCATGTCTTCCCTTATAGAAACGCTCCATGTTTTTTAGGAAATATAATTTCATGTTGGTCAATTCAGGGAACACTAATGGTTCATTTTCTAATCCATCTTCACAAGCAATGATTTCCACCATTCTCGTACAAGAGCTTACTGACATGTATTCAATCTTTTGAACATCTTTGGCCATAGAAGTCGGAAAGACACTCCTCAATCTATGACAAAAAGATACATCTATACTCTGCAATTCTTTGAAGTTGAGAATTCCTCTTGGATCTGTGCTCCACACTTGCTTCAACTTTGGGAGGCGGTAAAGAAAAATACTTTGCAAATTTGTGTCTATTCCACCAAATGCATCTCTTTGTTGGGAATCTTTGATTTCAAAAATCACTTTCACAAAAAGACAATTAACAACCTTCAACTTTTCCAAACTTGCATACCATCCTTCCATGTGACTCGGAAAAATCTTGTCTAATTTTTCACATTCTTCAATGTGCACAGAAATGAGACTACAAAAGGAATCAACACTCATTTTAGTCTGCCATATGTCTGTTAACATTTTCATTTTGCTGAGGTGGATTTCCTCCAACTTTGGAAAGACAAAGACCTGCACTTTGATGCAAACAATTCATTAATAAGTAATGAAGCTTAACAGAAATGTCTCAAGAAGAGCATGGCCAAGAACTACACACATAACATTAACTCAAGTACAAAAAATTAATTATTTACTCCAATACACACCTTGTGTACACCATTTCCTTCGGTGCAAAAAATCTTCTCCATTGCATGACACTCACTTACATAGAGGTTTTTTAACATTCTCAAACCGCTAGCCACAGACAATGAACACAAATATCTCAACTTATTACAGTCTTTCACAACTAATTTTATTAAGTTTTGAAAGCAAAAGCTTGACAGGGACTGGTCACACCATATCTTTTGGATGTTGATCGAGGATAAATTCAAGCTATCTAAATTTGAAATTTTAACCTGCAATAGCACATACACATTTAATATATCTATAAAAAACTAACATTAATTAAAAGTAAAAGAAAAGGATGTAATAGCATACCAATTTACCAAAGAGAGGAGGAACCATGTCTTTCTCTTCTCTACTGCAAAAACTAGTAAATGATGGTGATAAGGATTCTAGAGTCAAAGAGTGCAACTTAAGAAACTCAACCTTAGCAGAATTTGCAGGTATTTCAACAATCTCCTCTATAGAATCACAGTCAGAAACATCAATTGTTTCTACATTAGAAAGAAGTTTAATCATGTAAATTGAGATGACATTCTTCAAATGGGCACACATATTGATCTTGATGGTCTTCAATTTGGTAAATGAGACATCTGTAACTGGACCGCAACATATCATCTCTATGTTTCGCAATTTATAGAGGCATAAAGATTCCAAATTGGGAAAAACATCCAAAGGATGAGCCAAATCCTTTGGATCAAAGATATGTTTGATGCTAAAATTATTTGTGATAGATAAGTGTTTCAGATCTGGAAATCCATCCAAATTCAACTCATAAATAACATTTTTAACACTATTTATCTCTCCCAATAACAAATTTTGAACTGTTTTAAACAACAATTTTATCCCATTTTGAGAGTGAATATTGTTAGTATCCTCCTTCAGCTGCAATGCCAAAGATCTATATGGTTCGTACTTATTAGGCATCCTGAAATCTCCATCTGAAAACACCTTGATGTCTCCAATCACAAACTTGTAATCATTTAAGTTGTCAAAGAACAAGTCCTTGGGAAAAACTGCAACATTTGGGAGGCTCAAGTCCACCACTTTCAATTGATGCAAGTCTTTTAGTTTAGAAAGCAATGCAATTTGCACATTTGTCTCTTTTACCACAAGAGAGTTGATCAAGCACTTTCTTATATACAACTCTTCCAAAGAAGTCAACCTTGATATAGAATTAGGTAGGCACATCCTTTGTATGCAGCAATTGCTGGTGTCTAGAGATTGTAGTTTATCTAAACACCACAACTCCTCTGGAAAATTTTCAATTTGAGACCCAGAAAAATTGAGAATTCTTAATTTTTTCAACTTTCCTATGATTGACAAATTGCCATCTAAATTGCATCGCTCCAAACAAAGCATTCTGAGATTTGATAGACCTTTAATTAATTTTTCCAAGTTTGACAAATGAAAAAAACCATTCAATATTAACACTTTGAGTTTTTTCATTCCTTTAAAAATACCGTTAGGTATTCTCAAAGATGAATCATCATTATCAATTTGAAAAAAAATTAAGTTGATGGCAATTTATAACTCTAGGAAGTTTATCAAGGATATCACTGTTGCATATAGAAATTGAAGTGCACGTCTCAAGTTCAGGCCAATCATCAAGTTTACCATTTCTCATAGTAAATATATTTTTCTCCTTGTGTGCTATTGACAAAGCAGCATCTCGAACCATATCATGCATATTGAAACAATTACTAGAACTTCCATCCAACACCAAACATGAGCCTTTTAGCTTTTCTATTGATGTATCAATTCTGTCACGAGCTTCCATAAGCGAGTAGACCCCTTCAAGTATACCCAAACCAAAGGAATACTTCACCAAGTCCATAGTTAGTGGTTGATGACCCATTTGAGCACAAAGTAAGAAAATGGACTTGAGTTCTTCACTTTCTAGATGGTCATAACTCATCTTTAAAGAAATTTCCATAGGCTTTTGCACTCCCACCAATTCTTGCTTTTTAAGTTTTTCTAGTCTAGCTTCCCACACTGAGTCACTCTTATCTCTTAATGCCCTGCCAACAGTAATTATTGCCATGGGTATCCCCTCACAATACTTCTTAACAATCTCTTGTTTAAAGTTGGACATTTCATTAGATATTCCAACCGTCTTCTGAAACAATATCAGAGCATCCTTGTCATCTAATTCCTTAATGCGAAAAATTGACTTAACATCCATTTTATCAGACAATATTTTTTCAACCCTTGAGGTTAGCAAAATTTTGCACCTCTTATAATCACCCAGAGATTTTTGTGTTTTCATCACTTTGCAACTAGGATTCATTTCATTTTCATTTTTCTTCCCTTTTGTCTCATTCCTCTTGCTTAAATCATAGTCATAATCATTATCATCATCATCAAGTGGAATCCCTAATTTGTTCAAATCTAATTTGTCCCATATGTCATCCAATATTATAAGGGTGTTGTCCTTCTCTTTCTTTAACCTCCTTCGTATACAATCAGCTCTCACATTTTCACCAACCCCTTCCAATCTCAATCCTAAACTGTAAGCAATTTCTTCCTGGATTTTTTGCAAATTGGGATTGGCAGTTATTTCTGCTATAGCCGTCACATTAAAAATCTTCTTGTTTCGAGCTATATTAACAATTTCTTTGACAAAAGTGGACTTACCAACACCACTTGGCCCATGCAGCCCAATCATTCTGACCGTGGAATCTTGAAGTGATGCCAATATTTCATTCATTAAGGATTTTCTAGAACCAAAATCCATGTAGCCTACATTAGACGAAGTGACATCATTAGATGTTACGTTCTCCGTATAGGCAACTTCATCAGACTTGGGGGTCTCATCTCTTAGCTTCTTAACCTCCATTGCCATCTTTGTTGCTCGTCTGCTTAGTCTATGCCTATTCCATAAGTAAGGAAACCTTGACTTTGTGTGGCCTTCATCTTTCATATAATCCTCAAATTTAGACTTAAATTCACCCACTTCCCGTAACCATTCTGTGACCTTAGCTTCAATCTTTCGTAGATTTTTATCAGCTTCATCAACTTGGTGTTCCAGCCTTTCCTTATCACGTCTAAGATCCTCAACACTACGGTTTAGTTCATCTACATTTTGCTTGTAATCGAGGATGTAGGCCACCTGCTTATAACCCGGATGAACCACATATTCAAACACTTTTTCCACTATTGGTAGCACATCCCCCATCCCTTTGAGCTTGATTTTCTTGTCCTGGATACGACTACATATCTTCTCTTTTTCAACAAAACGTAAAAGTGTAAACAGATTAATCAAAAGCTAACTACGAAAAATAACTTATATTTGATCAATCAAAACTCACGAGTACATTTACTAAAATCAAGTCAAGCACTATAAATGCTTTGAAAATTATAAAGGAATGTGAAATACAAAAATAAGTAAAATATTAAGTTTGACATTATATTTTTGTCCATATTAAAGAAAATTTTTGCTTTTATTGGCTTAAAAGAAATTCATTTGACTTTTTTTATTTATTAAATTATATAGTTTTAATCATTCTAATTGCAACTTGGCAAGTACTCTGTAATTTGCACACCACACATTGTTAATGCTTAAGGATGCGTCAACAACCATGCCTTTGATTTTCCTTTTGGATTTTTTATTTTTCTTAATGATTCTCCAAGGAGAAGACCAACAAAACGTTGAATCAATGGAGGAGTTTTAATTTAACTGATATAAATGGAAAGGCAAAACGCAATTTGCGATCTCCATAATCTAACCCAACTCATTTTGAATGATCCAGCCCAACCAGTGGCCTCGAATTGAATATGATTTCAAGACTGTTTCCTTAAAAAATGAAGAAAAACACTCTTTGGACATGTTTGAGAATTTTTTTCCTAATCAGATGCAGAAAAAATAAATAAATAAAATCAACTTGGAGTTACTATTTTTTAAAAAAAAATTCTTAAATAATTTTTTTAAAAAATCTAAACAAACAGGTCCAGCAATAAAAAAAGAAAAATACAAAAAGAACTCTTTAATTGACATCAAGTTACTACTGGTTCTCTCTGTCTACCAATTTTTGTCTGTACACATCGGGAAAAAAAAATTGTTCTGTATATCAGTAATTCAAATAGATTTCAAGTGAAAGAGAAATAATTGAAAATCAAGCATTTATTTATTTAAAATATACCTGGAACATTAATTGTTTATATTGTCGGTACATAAAGTTTATGTGTATTATTCTGAAACTTGTTTACTCCGTATTTTTTATTACAATTAAATTGTTAAAATTATATATTACAACAAATTACATATCCAATTGGGGTAAAATTTTAATTTTTATTATACATAATTATTGATAAGAACATAATTTAATTCAGCTTTTAACTCCACTACTATTATCAAAATTTGGATTTAATCTTCCAGCTTTAAATTCCATTCTCACTTCCAATATAAATTTTTAATTCATTTATTATTTTAATAATAGATATTTAATGTAAATAAATACATACATATAATGGTTGTGAACTTGTATATTATTTTGTTTGAATAAATTAATTTAAATTTTTTAAATTAAATAGGACAAATTAATTTTCACCAAATATAAAATTTATTTAT